ACAAGGCTCCGCTGACTTCAGCTGAGAAAGGGCTCTCGAGCAGCCTGGTCTTACTCCGGAAAGAAATGGACTAAGAAACGGTGCATCTCGGTGACTTAGGTAAGCCTTATTTTATGGAATTTTGCTTTCTGCAGCAGTCGGGGAAGGAGTGCGTGTTGCTTAGAATATATTGTTTAACCTGTCCGGGTCAAAAGGTTTTGAAAACCACACGTTGGAAGCGCCTTACCCTACCTGCAGGCAGCTAGTGGAGCTTGGTTAGCAAGCAGACTTCTGGTCCTTAGGCGGAGTTGACCTCCAGCTGGCAGGTCACTAACGTTTAAAACTACAAAGGAGGCAAGTAAATACACTTTGAAGAAAGCAGATGCCTGGCTGCATGTCCTTTAAGTTGCTTTTTGTCTTTGTTTCCAAAATTTACATAAATATTATATTTTATTACAACCTGTCTAGGTCTATTTTATATCACAATATTGATATTGTTTATTAACCAGAAGTCAAATGTTTTCCCTTCTTCCCCACGCTAATGAGCCCGGCAAAGGGCACTCTCTCCCACCCTACTACTCCATTCATTCTTTCTAAAGATTTACTTACTTATGCATACAGAACTGGGGTACAGGCGAGAGAGGTTCAAGGGCGGTAAGAGGATTCACCAGAGGCAGAGTGGAGAGCAGAACAGGCAGATTGATTAAGCGCACTGTTGAGGGGAGCAGCCCGCGGGTCAGGAGAGGTCTGCCGCGCCATGTGGGTCACCTCCAGGGGCCAGGATCGAACTCACACTAAGGCGCTGCTGGCAGTGCTGTGCTTTAACCCGTTGTGCCACCAGGGAGGGCCTTCCATTCGTTCTTCATTCTGCTTCTTACATGCTTCCCCCATTTATTTGCCCTTGCTACTGTCCCTTAATCCGTTCTTCTGTTCAGTCTGCGTCACACTGCAATCGAAATCCAAGCTGCGTCCTGGCTGGGAATCTTGTAACAGTTCCCAATGGCTTGAGAATGAGTTGCCGATGGCTACCACCGCGCACCCGTGCAGGGCCCTCCCCATTCCCCTTTGGATCGCTCCTCCTCGCTCTTCTATGGTTTCCTTTGCCCTGAAGACGGTCATCTCCTTGTTCTCCCTGGGAAGAATTCTTCTCTCACCTGTTTGCACTGGCTGATACTCTTCCCTGTAGAGCTTTCAAAGATGGCCTCCACGGGAATTTCCCTCTCACATCTATTCATTTCATGGCGTTTTTCTCAATCTTAACGTATTTTGTTTACTATTTGTAAGTACTTGTTTACATGTATACGCAGGCAGATAAAAGTGCCACGAAACCAGTTTTATCTTGCTCACTGCTGTAGTGCCGGCACTTAAAACACTGCTTGGTATTATTTATTGAATACTGAATGACTGATGAGCCTGTAAAAATGCTTATACCCCAGTTTAAGCTTGTGTTCTTGAGTACTCATTTAACGTCCAGATATTGTCTTCAAATCATGTGTGTCCCATAACTCAGTTTTCCACGGAGTTATTTCCACCAACAGAAAATGTATTTGTCCTGTAAACTGGAGTTTTTCCATGATAAATACGATTCCAATTTTATACACCTTTCTCACTAGCACTTTTCGCATACTGTTTAGAGTTTTGATGAATAAAAGCCCCATTTGGATAGCCAAACTTGGACCTTGATCAATTCATTGAAAAAAAAAAAAATACTGTTCTCAGCCCTGATCTGTTAAGAGATGACTTTCTATTGAACACCCTGGTATCATTGTCAGCTAAGTTTTTGGAGTTACTACATTAAGTGTTTTTTCAAAAGTCAAAAAAAAAATTACAGTCAATTAATTTTATGGGACCCTTAAAATTAATAATGATGACTAATGTATATTCATCGATTCATTTTACTAGGAAAAAAAATGTACTAATTGTTGGAGCAAGTAAATCAGAAGAGGCCCTTTTTCTTATAGAGCTTACTAGGTAGTAGGTAAGAGACCTTAAATAGGCAACACTAAGAGGCTCTGATCTTTTAAGAGAAGGGAGAGAAACATTTAGCTTGGGAACTTAACAGCCTAAATGTAAAGGAAAGCTGGCCTCGATAAATGTCCAAGCAGAGAGCTTAAGTATGGTGGGAATGAAGTCAGGGAGTGTAGGTACCTGTGTACCTTGTGTATATAGAGGGCGGGTGTGGGGTTGGTGGGGAAAGTGGCTATTTTGTTGAAGGGAAGAACAGAGGACGGGAGCTAATCATGGTGCTTTATTGAAGGAGAGTTCATTATTCCTGAAAACTGCATAGGAGAATTGGAAGTGGCAGGACACAGATTTGAAGAGAAAAGCAGGAATCAAATCAATTTGGAGAGGGGGCTTTTGTGTACCATCAGACTCAAACTGTAGACCAATCATTAGTGATTTTCTTCCAAAGGTATTAACATTCATTCATAAAAAAAGATTCAAAAATTGTATTTAACTACAAGAACAAAGCAAATATTTTTAGGACATAGTCTCCTTGATTCATGTTACCTTTCTAAGGGACAGGATAAATAATAACACTATCATTTAATAATGTATATATACATATGCAGTAAATATGCTTATAGGTATGGATATGAGTATTATGAAATAAGATCTATTAGTATATTTATATGTAATTATCTATAAGTGTATGTGTAGATATAAATGTTTAGGAGGAAATTTGAAATGTTTCCTTTAGCAATTGAAAAGTGTGTTTTATTTTATATCTGTATTTTTTTGCCAAAAGTTAATGGCATAAATCCTTTGAGGTGTTATTTTTAAATGTAGTTATTTGAGAACATTTTAAGGACCTTAATACTTTATTTTAGTATACTACCTTTATATTTGTTCCTTTTAAAAAATATGCATTTTTAAACTTTTTTTTTTTGTTTCTATAGCAGGACTTCAGGGCAATAAAATTGAAATCTTTTATAAGAAACATGATGGTTACATTCAACAAAAGGTTCTGAGAAAATATTTAACATTCATGCTATAATTTTTATAGTATTGTTTTAGATTTTTTTTTTAAAGCTGGAAAATTATTCTGGGCCACTCTAACCTATGGCCTTTTTTGGACTTGCACTCAAAGGAGATAGGAATGTATGATTTCATGCGTTTTATTTTCTGGATCCTCATCTTCTAGAATGAAGCTGGTCAATCTATAGCGATAGACCAATTCAGCCTCTTCCTTTTTCAATGGAACAAAATCTTACATATACTTTATGTATTGTCTAAGGTTGATTCTGCCCTAAAAAAAAAAGGAGAGTTGCATAGTGTCGTGATATTGGCTATAAGGCCCATGAAATTTAAACATAGCTTTTAATAGAAAATCTTAGCCACCCCTGGGGCTAGAATAGTACCTGATATATAATGGAATCCAACCTATAGGATGAATACAAAGATGAAATAACACTAGCTTGCCTATTATTCAATATTTGCTATTTCATGGACTGTGCTAAGCACTTTACCTGCATTACTTCATTTGAATTTCACAACAGTCTGACACAGAAAACAGACATTTCAAGGCAGCTGCCACTATCTGAGTCAAGGTTTGCCTGAGAACCTTTCTCAAAATTGCAAACTCCTACTTTCTACCAGACCCTTTGCTTATTCTGTAACATGTCACCTTATAATATGAAATACATTGTTCACTCTGTACTTACAAGCATGTCTACCCCATAAAGTGTAGGGCTTTTTTTTATGTATACTTAGTGATGTATCTCAATCCACCAATAGCCTAGGGTAGAGGAAGCATATAGTGAGGACTTAATAAATGAGGATGCGCAACTAGAATCGCATAACTTGTAGGGATACCTAAGTAAGATATGGTTATGGCCTACATGTTTGTTTTTTTTTTTTTTAAAGGATTTATTTATGCGTACAAGAGCTGGGGTATAGGCAGAGGGAGGGGGGCAGGGGAAGTGAGAGGATTTACCAGAGACAGAGTGAGGAGCCAAGAGGCAAACTGACTGAAACAGACTGCTGAGGAGGGCAGCAGGCGAGACAGGAGAGGTCTGCTGCGCCCTGTGGGTCATCTCCCTGGCCAGGGATAGAACTCATTAGGCAGTGGCTGCTGCTAGCTTCATAATGCTGAGACATAATCCTTTGCACCACCAGGGAGGGCTCAATGGCTTATGTTTTACACCAGAGAACATTATACTTTTTATCTGTTGGGGAGTTTGTCAGATCTAATTGTAGCCATTCCTGGGTTTTCCTGCAGGGAGGTAAAGGGTTTGTTAAATCTCAGCACTATCGCGTTGTCCCTGGTGGTGCAATGGGTTAAAGCTATTGCAGCCTTTGCACCATGAATTTGATCCCCAGCCAGGGAGGTGACCCACATGGCACGGCAGACCTCTCCTGACCCGCCCACTGCTCTCCTCAGCAGTGTATTTCAGTACATCTGCCTGATCTGCTTCCCTGATCTGGTGAATCCTCTCTCCCTCTGCACCTCTGGCTGGTACCCAAGTTTTGTATGTATAAATAAATAAATCTTAAGGGAAAAAAGTCTCAGCATTATCAAGACATCACCAGCCACTGCATAAGTTCAACCAACCACTTCATGGTGCAGCAGATCTCTTCTGTCTCTCGCTGCTCCCCTAAGCAGTGTATCTCAGTGGATCTGCCTGTTCTGCTCCCCAATCTGTCTCTGGTGAACCCCTTCATATTCCCAAACCCGGCACCTCTGGTCTACACCCCATTTCTTGCATGCATAAATTAATAAAAATAACTCTTAAAATAAGTGTAGCTACTCGTACATCATTATTGAAAAGTGAGTTCTAGGTCATCTTGAGGTCACACGGCTCTAATGAACTGTATTTTAACTAATGGCTACTATTTTATTTTATTTTATTTGTAATTTTTACATCATTTTGTACATTTTTTTTTCCATCTCAATTAACTAATGGCTACTATTTTAAAGCAGATACTTGCTGAAGGCATCTTAACCAGATTTTGCTACCTGAAAGTAAACGCCATATCTTGGTGCAGTAAGTCTCCAAGGAGAAAGCAGACGAGACAACATGAACCAAGAGCTGAAGAAAAAGACAAAGGTGTGTGGACGCAGAGGCCTCAGTAGAAGAGTAACCAGTGGGACTAAGACAAGCACAGCCAAGGCAAAGCCCACCCAGAAGGCAGAAATGGGTCCTCTCAATGCCACATGGGACTTACCTAATGAAGATGTGTGCTGTGAGACTCGCTTTCAGGATGCAGACGATTCCTTCTCTGATTGTTACATAGAATGCATCATAAAAGGGGAGTTTTCTCAACCCCTCCTGGAAGAGGACTCACTTCTTAAGGCCCTTGACTCCCTGAAAGAGGGAGCAGAACAAGAGCTATCTCAACAGATTCTTGCAGCAAGCTCATTTCTTGAATATCCTTTGCAATATAATAAAAACGAGGCAAAACAAGAACAATTTCAACCAATTATTGGAAAGGAGTTGTTTCCTGAGTATACTAAATGCATCACAGACCAGAAGCTTCCTCCTGGAGGAAAACCGAGTATAGGATTACCAGCTCCTAAACAGCTTACAGAATCTGCTAGGGGGATGCCAAGTAAAAGTAAAGCATGTGATGTTCCAAAAAATATTGCTTGTCCTCACCTTGGATGTACAAGAGTGTTGCCAAATAAAGCTTCTCTGAGAAAACATCTCCTTATTCATGGACCCCGAGATCACGTCTGCGCTGAATGTGGGAAAGCATTCACTGAGAGCTCAAAACTAAAAAGGCATTTTCTGGTTCATACTGGAGAGAAGCCATTTCGTTGTACCTTTGAAGGGTGCGGAAAACGCTTTTCCTTGGATTTCAACTTGCGTACACACGTGCGCATCCACACTGGCGAGAAACGTTTTGCTTGTCCCTTTGAAGGATGTAACAAGAAGTTTATTCAGTCCAATAACATGAAAGCTCACGCCTTAACTCATGCAAAAACCAAGAAACAGTGCAAGTGAAGATGGAAGATAACCCTCCAAAAATGCCTCGCTGATTACTGTTTCTAGGAAATAATTTTTAAATCAATATTGCAACCCAGGAAGGCATTTTTCTTAGTGGACAGAGATACTCTTATAGTTTGTGATGTCATTTAAGAACATGGTGCACAGGATTAAAGTGTACTTCCAAAGGGAATATCATTTAAGAACAAACACAGAACCCTCAGACATTATGACCTGATTATTGGATTTGAGGCTTATTTTTCACACACTATAAATATAAAATTAGCTTTACTTTTTAAGTTTGTGATTTCTAACTGCTTAACTTTTGCCTTTTAGGATTATGTCATAAAACAATAATCTTGGAGAACGAAATTTTACAGTAGATTGTCAGGATATAAACAAGCAAACTTTTTTTTAAAGTTAAATAAGCTAACTCTGTTTAATCATTTTCTTTTTATCATTGTATCAAACTATTGAAATCATACAACTAGATGTAAGTGATTATTTAATATCTTTTAATCCATTTTAGAGATTTTAAAATAAAAGGAAGTAAAATCCTAGAAGTATGCTAAATCTGAATTGAAAAATAAACAGATACATTAAAAACAGACACTATGTGTTTGTCTCCAAAATATTGCCAAGATATGACAGTTTAGTATTGTTGAGGCATGGGGTGACATGGTGGGGGGGGGTTGTTATCTTTCTACACTAGTTGTAGCCATTTTACAGGGTCTTTTACAAGTTTGCATGTCAGTTTCTAAGGCTGTACTAACCACCACCAAATGGGTGACTTAGTCAACAGAACGTAGTCAACCTTAGTTCAATTAGTGCTGGAGGCTAGCCATCCAAAATCTAGATATTGGCAATTGGCTCTTTCTGAAGATCTGAAGGGTCTCTTTCAGCCCTCTGCTTGGCTTGTAGGTGACTGTGTTCATGCATACACTGCCTTCTCCCTGTATTATCACATCACCTTCCCATGTGCATATCTGTGTCCAGAGTCCCACTTATAAAGACTACAGTCGTGGCATCAACACACACCCTAACAAGCTTATTTTAACTTATTACCTATGTAAAGACTCCATCAAACAAGTTGACATGAAGTCATGGAAGTTAGCATTTCAACATGAATTTGGAAGAAAGGGGGTTCACAGTCAATCCATAATGTCCACTTTTAGACTCAGTATTTTAATTCTAGAATTCTGCTTTACAGAAATATTTGCACTAAAGTATGATGTTTAAGGATGTTAACTAAAGCATATTTTTAAAAATAATATAATAGTTTATTTTTACATCATTTTGTGCATTTTTCCATCTCAGTTGTAATCCCCTTGGGCTTCCCATCACCAAATCACACCCATGTGCCCTCACCAAAGTCCAGTGCAATTCCCTCTCCCCACTGTTTTTGATCCCATTACCCACTTCACCCCCATAAATTGTCTTTGGTATATAACTGTTCATTATTATTATTATTATTTTCTCACATGGTCTGTTATACTCCTGCTATGAGTGAAACCATTCAGTATTTTTCCTTTTCTTTCTGGCTTATTTCACTTAGCATGATCTTTTCCAGCTCCTTTCATGTTACTGCAAAAGGCACGTGCTTATTTTTTTGATTGCTGAGTAATATTCCATTGTGTATAAAACATTTTTAATAGTACATAAGTTCATAATGTTTATTAAAGAACAAGTTACATAAATCAGGATATTTCCATTCAATGGAAAATGTGCAAGAATTCTTTTTTACTTGTTTATTTTCTATGCATACAAAAGCTGGGGTGTAGGGTAAAGGTCTGGGGGTAAGAGTATTCACCAGAAACAGAGTGGAGAACAGAACAGGCAGATTGGCCAAAATACACTGCTGAGGGGAGCAGCAGACAAGACAAGAGAGGTCTGCTGCACCATGTGGGTCTCCTCCCTGGTCTGGGATCAAACTCAGGCTGCAGTGGATGCTGATAGCTTCATAGTGCTCAGAGTTAACCCCTTGTACTGCCAGGGAGACCTTGTGCAAGTATTCTTAAAGGAAGCTTGGCTATAAAAAAGGGCCACAGCTTCAATGAAGATAGAGTAGGGAGAAGTTAGCTGTTTTTAACAGATGGGACAATATTTGATATGTTTATGTGCTGTGAAGAAAATTTAGAGAAAGTGGTTAAACATAATCACTTTATAAGAGGGGAAATTGATTATCCAAAGATGACTGCTAAAAATAAAACTTAGCTGTAATAGGGATAAACTAATTTTATGATTATAATAACTGAGTCCTTGATTGGAGTCACCTTATAATAGGCAGAAAATATGCCACCAAACTTGAAATGTATTACTCTTTCAGAATCAATACTATAAATGATCAGATATAGTTAGAATGCCAATTTCATTTTAAGATTCCAGGCACCACTGGGGGTAATGCTAATATATAAATTAACAGTTTTTCAGGAAATCAACAAACTATGAAAACAAACCAACTTTGAAATTTATCTTGATTTTAGAAAAGCCAAAACAGGGTCCTCCCTGGTGGCACAAGATGTTAAAGCACACTATGACATTGTCAGCAGCCACTGCCCCATGAGTTGGATCCCAAACTAGGTTGCTGACACACATGCCACAGCAGACCTCTTCTATCTGCCAGTGTATTTTGGTGTTTGCCTATTTTGTTCCTTACTCTGTCTCTGGTGAGTCCTCTCACCCCTTTCTATTAATGTTTCAGTAAAGAAACGTATGTATACTTTCCACATTTTAAAAAAAATATTTATCTATTCTTACAGAACTGGGGTACAGGCCAGAGGTGTGGTGGGTGAGAGGATTCACCAGAGACAGAGTGGGGAGCGGAACAGGCAAACTGACAAAGTACACTGCTGGCGAGTCAGAGGTCTGCTGCACCATGTGGGTCAGCTCCCTGGCCAGGGATCAAACTCACGCTGCAGTGGCTTCAGAGAGCTTCATGATGCGGTGCTTTAACCTGCTGAGCCACCAGGGAGAGCCCTACTTTTCACATTTTTATCTTAGGATGAGTGAACACAAGATGTGTAAACACAGAAAACTGGAAAAGAAAAAACATCTAGATTTTTACAGTTTCGCAGCTACTGGTATTTACAAACCAAAAAATACCCTGATACATGAACAAGTACCTGTGTTTTCAGGATGCTATTTTGATTCATAGCCATATCCCTTTTTTTTTTAATTGCTGAACATTAATATCAGAAGGTAGAGGTGCCTTGCTGACGGCGCAGGGGTTAAGTCTCAGCTCTATGAAGCTATCAGCAGCCACTGCAGCCTGAGTTCCATCCCCGGCCCTGAAGCTGATCCACAAGGCACAGCAGACATCTTCTGTAACCTCACTGCTCCTTTCAGCAATGTAGTGCAATAGGTTCATCTGTTCTGCTCCCCACTCTGGCTCTGGTGAATCCTCTCACCCTCTGCACCTCTGGATTGTACTCCAGTTCTTGTTTGCATAAGTAAATAAGTCATTTTTTTAAATGGTGAAAATTATCATAAATCTCGTTTTTCTTTCTTTTTTTTTCCCCCTTCCTCCTCTAGAAGGGACAGAAGACTGAGGGTCTTTTCACCTCCTAACACTTTGGATAATGAAGAACTCACCGGTGTTGAAAATTGCATCCACTAAGACTGATTTGATAGTTAAAAAAAATGTTAAATCATTTATTTGCATTCCATTTAAATTAGTTTATTTAATGTTCTATGATAAGTGTACAGGTCTTATAAAGTAATATTTGATTTCTATATTTCACTTTAGTGACAATAAATATTAGTAAACATAGGGTTTTTATCCTATTCTACCCAAAAGAATTCTAATCACAGTAGATTAGTCAGATCTTTGTATGACTTCACTGCCGAATATACATGTGTGAAATCCACGTGCGTTTGTTTTAATTACCTCATGTATTAGCTCTGACTGAATAAATTGCATGATTGCATCCCACACTGAACACAGAACAGTGCAAGCTATATTAAAATGCCATTATATTTGCAACTCTGAGCGAGAGACTATAATTGAAAGGCAATTGATGAAATTAGCTTTGAGAGTACAAGAGTTTAAGTAGGATTTGGGTAAATGAACATTAACGGTTAACATGTGATTTTTATTTGTATTTTTGCTTTTTTCCTTTCTGACCCTAAGGTTGAACGTCTTTGGTGTCAGCGACCAGACATGTAAAAACATCTGTACAAAGCTATGCTTTACCAGGTGCCTAAAGTTATCTATATGAAAAACCAATATAAATTTTGTGAGCTCAGTAAATCAAGTGTTAGGTTGGTTAGAACGGTACTCTGGTCATTACTAAGCTACTGTAAAATTCCTAAGATATCAAGTATATGTGATAAAAAGCAGAGTACATGCATCTAACAACTTAGAATACTAGTCCTAAAACATGTGTACAACTCAAAGACAAAATGTAAATAGTTAAAACTACACACAGTGTGTCTAGTGATTCCTCATCTTTATCTAAGGTAGCCAGTATATTTGCAAGCAGCTGAAGACTCAGCATGGCATTGACACTTGTGGGTGGAATCTCTCTTTATAAAGATGGATATCTAATAGACTGGGCTCACCATGACACAGCTGAAAGATGGCTGTGAAGCCTGATGCCTTACATTGGGCTTGGGCTTATCTCCCTTCCCCTTGAGTTTCAGTGAATTTAAGTGTGAATCCTGAGTCTGAACCTGAATACAGGTCTGGATGTGAATCTGGGAATCTTGAAACTGAGTTTGGTCTGTGAATGCTCTGATCAGTAGCATGTGATGTTGATTCCTGGCAGATGCTGCCTGGACAGGACTGCTATTTAAGAAACCTGACAAAGGGCCCTCCCTGGTGGCACATGGGTTAAAGCACGGCACTGTGAAGCTACCACAGCCACTGCAGCACGAGTTCAATCCGTGGCCAGGGAGGTGACCCACATGGCACAGCAAACCTGTCCTGATCCGCCCACTGCTCCCCTAAGCAGTGAATTTCAGTCAATCAGCCTGTTCTATTCCTCACTCTGTCTCTGGTGAATTGTGTCATCTCCACA